CAGAAAGCACCGGAAGGTGGGGATGGGGGAGATATTGGTCAAAGGGTAAAAAGTTTCAGTTACACAAGATGAAAAAGTCCAGGAGATCTAATGTATGGCGTGGTAACTATGGTTAATAATCCTGTGCTGTATGCCTGAGATTTGCCAAGAGTGTAGATTTTACATGTTCACATGCACATGGTAACCGCCGGGTGAGGTGGTGGGAGTTAGCTAGGTTGTGGTTGTTGTTTCACAGTGTATATGTAAATCAAACCATCACATTGTACACCTCAAATGTTGAAAGTTTTTACTTGTCAAGTATATCTCACTAAAGATAGAAAAATAAAGTAATAAAATAAATTTAAAATAAAAACAAAAAGAAAAGAATAGAAAAACAAAGCTCCAAAGCTCCCCATTTCCCTCTCCCCAGCCAGCGAGAACCACTGTTCTGTCTCAATGTACCTAACTACTTGTGGAACCCCGTGCGTATGGAATCATGAAGGATTTATTTTTTTTTGACTGGCTTATTTTGCTTAGCATAAAGTCCTCATGTCAGTTTTGATGAGCTGTGTTTTTTTAAGGCACTTTCCCATTTCAGCTAAGTTGTTGAATTTATGTATATAAAGTAGTTCCTAAGACATCCTTATTATTCTTTACTATCCATAGGATCTGTAGTGATGACTCATCTRAGCTGTATTCTGAGAGCCCCCCACCTGAATCCTCAACTTTTAGTTATTTGTACCTTCAAATCCTAGCTAATGAAGCYAGGCATGTGGCTCTTACCAAATTCTAATTACTGGCACCTTGCTTATCTGCAGGTGGCCATCCTACCTTATCACAATATGCATTAGCCTGGTATATTGCAGTCATTTATCAGCAGGGAAAAATGGTAACCAAATTTACTGGAGGGTTTATGAACTGATAATTCCTGGAGCAAATCCAGTTCTTACACTGGTTTGTTTTGGCTTGTGTGGTGTCTTTTAAATACGGAACTAGTTGCTAGAATATAAAAATCAGAGGATTTTACAAATGAGTCCAGGTTTTCAATTTTTCTTGAAAATGGTAGGGTCTAACGATGCTGGGCCCACCCACTTTGCAACAGTATGGCAGGGTCCCCAGAGCGGCTCCTTCATGCTGGGTGTGTGTCCTGTGGTTTGCTACTCACTTCTTTAATCTCCCTGGCTCCCTGTACACATTGAACTTGGAAGTTYCTGTGGTAGTGATTCAGAACAAAAGTCAGAAAGTTYRGCTGCAAATTGTTGCTCCATCACTKCTAGCTACTGGATCACAACCRTGTTACGTAACCTCTCTGAGCCCTGTTTCCTTCTTAGTAAATGGGAATAATAATTAGAACCAAGCTCAAGGCAGTGAGTATAGAATGGGGTAGATACCTGTGAACTCTTCATCACATAGTAAGTGCTTCATAACTAACATGTGACATTATTGTGTTGTGACTGTGGAGTAGACAGCAGAGTGGTAAGTTKGATGTGGCACTGAAGTGGGCTTCCTGGACCAGCTTTGCTACCATGCAGCAGTGCATCTGTGGGTTTTTGTTGCCCCATCTGTCCTATGAAGAGRAAGGACAGCATGTCAAGCTATAAGTTACATACAGAAAGTTCAACTCAAACTACCTTAAATAATAAAAAAAATGAAGTTAGCTATATTTGTCTTAAAAAAAAAACAGTAGAGGTAAATGTAACTTCAGGTGATGCTTGAGCAGGCAGTTCAATGCCATCAAGGAATCCATGCCATCAAGGAATCTCTCTTCCTTGACCTCCATGGTGTACCATGTTCATCAATAGGTGGGCTTCCCTGCAGGTTACAGAATGATCATCTGCAGGCCCCAGGGCTATGTGCTTTTCATCCATACCCAGCAGGAAAGTGAGCCAATGTGTTGCATTGCTCTCCGTAGAAGCCTTAATGTTGGCGCTGTTAGAATTGGCTTAGGTTTTCAGCCTAGAGACAATCACTGTGGCCAGGGGCAAGGGAGAGGGTGATCACCTTGGTCTAGTTCCATGGGCTTTGCTCCTATAACTGGGAAAGTGGTCAGCTCCCCAGCATATCATGGTCTTCAAAGCGCCATTCAGAGGGGTTGGCTCCCSCCAGGGTTGTCCCTCACCTTGAGTTCTAAGCTCTGTCGTCCCAGCCAGCCACTAGACTGGGACGCAGAGCTTACTGGGGTCCTCCAGTGAAGTTGGGCCTTGTTTTGATACTTATTTCTGCTTCTCTAAGAAACCATATGATCATCTTGGCACATGTTCTTGGTGTTATCCCCTTTGGAAGAAGAGGGATTTGGCTTGGATTCATGGGCTTTTTTCCTTTCATATTCACTAGTAGCTTTTGTGGAAGCTGCTTTTCAACACCTCTGGTGTTTGCATATCATTAAAGCTAGTTTCAGGAATATAGAGAGAATGGTTTTCATACTCTCTAAGAAATAAAGCTGGGCATGGATTTTGGAGCTTGRCAGGTTTTCCAATGTATTTCCAGTTGTGTGGGTAAGCCCTCCCCACCCCCCAATTTATGGGCATCATTTTTTTTTTTCTCATTTGAACGATAGGTGTCTTGTGTATCTATCCCACAGAGTTTTATTAGTCTGCTTTTTCATTACTATAAGAAAGCACTGGAGGTTATATTATAGAGAAAAGAGGTTTATTTAGTGCACAATTTTGGAGGCTGAAAGATTGTATGGCCCCATTRGTCCAGTTTCTGGTGAGGATCTAATGGTACATGGCATTGTGACAGGGAGAGGGAGMGATCACACAGTGAGACAGGAAGCTGGAGAGTGGGGAGGGGCCWGGCTTGTTCTTTCATAACGTCCTCTCTGGAGAACCAACCAGGGTCTCACAAGAATGACATCAATTCCTTCTCGGGCAGCATCCCCAGTGACCTAGTTACCTTGCACCAAGCCCTCCTCAAGGTCCCCTCACCTCCTCATGTCGTCACACCAGGGCCAAGCTTCCAGCCCATGAGTGGGTGGGTGGGGGGTCACACTCAAATCACATCCAAAAAGCAAGACACAAATAAGGTCCTGCCCAGGGTGAGCTTCCTGGCATGAGGCCGTGCCCAGCTCAGTGTTGGCTCTTCAGAGATGCTGGGGTCCCCCCTTGTCCCAAGCCTCCCAGCTGCTCTGCCCCAGTGGCTCTCTGTCCTGTTGCCCAGGTATTCTTGTTATGCCACTTTATCTATAGCCATTGTGTTTCCTGGAATATGAGGTTCACCACGGCAGGGCACACACCCATCTCAGGGGTGCAGCTTCCAGTTGTGAGCAGGGGGCTGTCTGACTAGAGGAGCCCTGCGCCACCCCCTACGGACAGGAGGGATCTGGGTCGTGGGGCAGGGCTGCTTCTGGCAGAGGTTGATGACCTGGTTTTTCTGGCCTGCCCTGTCCCCAGGCAGGTGGGGCTGCTGGGCAAAGTCTCAGCAGTGTGTGCCACCTGCCTGGTCAAAGTCAAGGTCCGAGCCATGGGCTCGGCAGCTGCGGCAACAGCCACACGCTGGAGTCCCCATCTGCGGGCATGTGATGGCAATGGTGATGGTGTGCTGGGTGATTCAGGAGGAGCCCATCCCTTGAGAAGGAAGCAGGAGATGGGGCCAGTGCCCTGTCGGTGCTGCGATGCTCCTTGACTCGTACTGGCCGGGACGGCTGTTCCCTGATCTGTCAATCATCCATTTAAGATCGTTCTGAGTTTGCTTCCACTCTGATTTCTGTCCAAGTGGCTCCAGCTGCTGACCTTCCTTTAGCATTGGGTGCCAGGGCTTATTTGATTTCTGATCTGGGAGCTGGCCATCACAGGGAGGGGTACCAGGCCCTCCTCTGCCCTGGAGCAGAACTTCTCAGCCCTGGGGTAGGTCAGCATCATCTGGAGACTGTAGCCAGGGAGGCTGGGGCAACTCTGGGGATTCTGCTGGCTCCATCTGGGATGCTGGCCAGGCACCTGGCACTTCAAAAAGTCCCCCCCCTCTGCTCCCCAGCGACAATGTCCCGCAGTCTGGGTGAAGGCGCTGGCCTGGACCTTCTGTGGGCATCCCGTACACATCTGAGAGGGTCAGAGGCATGGCTACATTCAGGGCTCGATTTCTGCTTATTTTTAAAATTTCCCTTCCCTGCCTTTTACCATCTGTTTCATTAGCCCCTTGTTGGCAGCCTCAGGTACCCCAGAGCTGCACCCAGGAAGTCCAAACTGCATCRGGGCTGAAGCTCTGCCGTTTCCAACTGTGGAGGGCAGCAGCCAGTGGCCATCAGATTCACACAGAAGATGTGTTGGTGGCCTGCTCCTAGGGATCCAGGCCACCCAAGACATCCCCTTCCCCGTGCCAGTTTCCTCAACTATTATAGGGGCTCAAAGAACCCCCAGGTCCGTCTGAACTGACTACAGATGAGTGAGATTTGTGGGAGGCACCCCCAGTTTCTTGGGGGCAAGGAGAGAGTGGGGAGCATTTAATTCCCCGTAATCTTTATCAGCTGTGCTACCTTAGGCAAGTCCCCATATGGAGTCTACCTTCCGGAATGCTCTATAGACTATGAGCATGAAATATGAAAATGAATATAAAGTCCCTTGTGCAGCATCTGGCACATRTTAGGGCTTCAGTAAATTGCTTTTTTTTTTTCTTTCCAAGAATGCTACTGTCTGCTCTTAATGTTATGTTAAATGGGAAAAGGAAAATACATGGYGTTTGGCTTAAGTGATCATCTGCTGGTTGTAGGATGAAGCCTCTTATTGACCCCTGCATTCAAGGCCTTGAGCAGGAAGTGATATCCGCCTCCCAGTCAGACCACATGGGCTCTAGGGGGTCTTGGGAGAGCAATCGTGTTGGAGGGAGAGGTTGTGAGGGGTCTTCCCCTGAAGCTGCATTTGCACGTGATCATAGTATTTGAATTTGAATGGGGTGCTGCTTCAGCTGGGACGGAGATTTTTCCGCCTGGCACAAGGAAATGCTAATAACTGGATGCCCTGGTGAATGAATGGACCTTCCCTGTCCCAGCTTACCCCTCCTGCCCAGTGGAGTCATGGAAGAAATGATTGAGAGCGTAAGAAATAGTCCGGTTTATTGATTAGAACATGGTATAAAATCACAGCAATTTGCAGGCATTTCTGGGAGGGCCATGCAGTGCTGGGCGTGAGCAGGGGCTGGAGAGGYGGTACACTCCACTGGGCCATGGCTCCCGCCCTGGGCGTGTTAGGGGACTTGTGTGACTAGCACAGATGCTTGTGTGGGAGAATGATTGGTCCTTGCCTCTGGAGTCGGATGCTGTGGGAGTTTGGGTCATCAGACAACGCCATGCTTCAGAATTCCGTCTTGTTCTACGCGAGTTAGGTGCTGCCTCTCCCCATCTAGACACGGTCAATTCTAATTGTTCAGTACAACACTCTCTTCCCACATAGGAAGAGGAACAGGCACGTTGGTTTGGGAGGCCATCAGAGGATGGTGTGCATTTGGCTGAGGTCCTCTGGCTTCCAGACTCTTCGAGGTCTGCTCGACATGGAGGCAGCGGGCGGGGGCACGTAAGCAGAACACGGTGCACTACTGTTGAAGCTCAAGCAGAGGGACCTTCTGTGGGGCAGCGGCGTGACAAGACGGGCATGCTTCCAAAACAAACTCAAATTTCATCTTGTCTCTCTCAAGAGGAGGGAAGAGGAAGAGCTGGCGATCAGACTGAGCCACTGACGCCAGGCATCTTAGAAAGTCTTCGGCAGGGATTCTTCCAAAGTGTAAAAGGTGTTTCTGTCCCAAGAGTTGATGTGTAAAATCAGAACAAGGGCAGACCAGGGTGCCAAGGTGGTTGTCGAATACAGTGTCTCTAAGAGCCGATGGCTGAGTGTCCCCTGTTATATGACGTTTTGGAACAGCTGGAGAGATCTCATGATGTTGTCATCCTGGGAAGGGAGGAGGGGAAGAGAAGTGGTTAGAACTCTCCAGGGTCCTGGCTGAGAGGTGGATAACTCTGGCGAGCTGGTTTTCCTGTCAGAAGGCACTCTAGGAGGGCATGAGAGGAAGAAGGAAGGGGTCCTAGAACATGGTCAACCAAGGCAAAAGTCCTCCTCTAGCCTAAGGAGGAGTTCAGAAAAAAACAAAAACAAAACACATCATCCAATAAAACTGTGTTCTGTTTGCTTTTCTTTTTCCTCTAAGAAACAAGGGCACTGAGTCAAATGCTTTTTTCTRTATCTATGAAGATGATCACATTTTTTTCTTCTTTATTCTACTCACATGATTAACTACATTGACTGATTCTTAATGTTAAACCAACCTTGCAAGTTTCCATATGAGGGTTATAATACCCTCATAAATCAAGTTGCAAAGATTCTCCTTTTTCTCTCTTCCCTGAGTTTGTACAAGATTAGCATCATTTTGGGGGCTGGGGTTGTAGCTCAGTTGCAGAGCGCTTGCCTAGCATGTGTGAGGCACTGGGTTCCATCCTGAGCACCACATAAAAATACATAAATAAAATAAAAGCATCATGTTCACCTATAACTAATTTTTTTTGAAAAGTAAGATAAAAAGAAGAGATTAGCATCATTTCTTCTTTGTATGTTTGGGAGAATATATAAGTAGAGCTATCTAAGTCTGACATTCTCCTTGGGGGAAAGTTTTAAATTATGATTCAGTATCTTTTTAAAAAAATATGTATTTTTTAGATGTTGATGGGCCTTTATTTTATTCAYTTATGCAGTGCTGAGACTTGAACCCAGTGCCTCACATTTGCCAGGCAAGTGCTCTACCCACTGAGCCACAGCCCAGCCCCATGATTCAGTGTCTTTAACAGACATAGGACTATTTAGATTTTCTATTTCTTTTTGTATTAACTTTAATAAGTTGAGTTTTACAAGGATTTTTTTTTTTTTTTTGGTACTGGGAATTGAACTTAGGGGCATTTAACCATTAACCTTGAGCCACATCCCCAGCCCTTTTTCTTTTTCTTTTTCTTTTTTTTTTTTCATTTTATTATAGTCAGGGTTTTGCTGAGTTGCTTAGGGCCTTGATAAGTTGCTGAGGCTGGCTTTGAACTCAAAATCCTCCTGCTTCAGCCTCCTGAGCCTCTGGGATTATAGGTGTGCACCACCACATCTGGATTGAAGGAGTTTATGTCAAACTTACTGGATAATGAACTATTATCTTTTTAATGTCTATGAAACCTGTAGGGTGATGTTATTTTTTTCCCCTGATATTGAAAATTTGAGTTTTCTCTCTTTTTATTCAGTCTTAGCATTTGTCAATTTTATTAGTTTTTTTTTCAAGGAGAGAACTCCTGGCTTTATTGGTTTTGTTATTGAGTGTCTATATTTTACATTTTTTCTAAAAAATATTTTTTAAGGTGTAAGTATCAAATGCAGAAAGTCTTCAAATGTTTGTATATCAAGGAACACACTGCTATATCTATGCATCAGAGAAAATATTTTGAATTACAATGTACTGAAAATGTAACATATCAAAATTTGTGGCATCTAAAGCATTACTCAACTAAAGTAATATTCAGAAGAAAATTTATCCCTAATATAAATATTAGAAAAGAATTATTACAAACCAAAGATCTAAACTTTTATCTAAAAAAAAAAACTGGGAAAACTTCAAACCCTAGAAAATTGAAAATAAGAAAGAAGAAGGAAGAAATTAGAACACAAATTAATGAAATAGAAAGCAGACCTATAATAGAGAAAAATCAACAGAGAAAAAAGTTGATTGTGAATGTCTACAATCTTTTTAAGTTGCTATGTGGCAGTTAATCATATGGAACCTGGAGTCAAGCAACCTGGATTCAAATCCTGGAACTTCCTAGCTGTGTGACCTTGGGCAAGTTATTTAATCTCCATRAAAAATGAGTGCATCATTTTCTTCATGTATACAATTGGGTGGATGGAAATAACTGCCTATGGCGTGGGTGGCAAAAAATAAATGAGTTACTTAATGAACAGCTATAGAAACTGTTGCTGTGATGGAAGAAAATGATTTAAAAGCCACTCTTAGAAGGCAAAGTCAAGAAAACACACCTCAGTAGGGCATGGTACAACACTTATTGTGGTTTGAGTCACATTTCTTAACCTTGTAAGGCCTCAGTTTTCTCTTCTTGAAAATAAATGATCAATATTGCTTTTCAGTCAGTGCATAATGGTTAAATGTCAAGACATTTCTGACCCTACTGATAAGTACCTGCTGGCCTGGGCCTCCCCTCCGACTCCAGGATCTTTCCTTCTGGCTTCCCAGCAACTTTCCCAGGACCCCTGGACCACCCAAAGACCCATCAACTAAAGGTCTAAATGTAAACTTTGCAGAGCTCCTCTAGGGCGCTGGTCAAGGTACATTGCAAGTGGTCAATGTTCAGTCTGATCTAGTTGTTAAATATTTAGAACGCCTCCCTGCACGCAGGACAGCTACTTCACAGGGTTATTGTGAAGTTTATGTAATGCACCTGGAACGTGGTAGGTGCTCAGGATGTGTCAATAACTCCTCGGCTTTCTCACATTTCGGTTCTTGGATAGAGTTCATAGTTAACTGTGTACCTTCCTGAAATAAGGTGCAAGAGGTATAAGTGTATTCCTCTAAAGTAGATGAAGAAATTATTTCCAGTTCAGTCTCTGGAGGAGGCTCTGGAGCTAGACTGTTCATTAGACTTGGTCGAAGTTTGGTCCAAGGACCAGCAACACCGGGGTCAGCTGGGAGGGTGTGTCCTCTCAGGCCCCGCCCCAGGCCTTTGGAGGTGGAGTCTGCATTTTAGCAAGATGGTCAAGGAGGTTGGCTGAACATTAAAGTTCTGGCCATGCTGGTCCAGGGCATTTGTAGGACAGTTCCTAGACCCAGCCCAGATCTATAGTCAAGGCATGTAATATGCACATTCACAACCACCGCAGGGAGTTTTATGCACACTACCGTTTGAGAATAAGAGTGGGTTTTTCCCTTGTAGCCTGGGGAGCAGGGCATGAAGCTAGAGGCAGGTTGAGAAATGGCAGTGTTGTCCACTCACAGAGGTCCCTTCTGGGTTTTCACACCCCAGAACCTGCCTTTGGGCTGCTGCTCAATCCTACTCTTAGCCAAACCAGCCACAGGCCAGGGATCCCTGAACTCCTGAGTGGCTATTGTTGGCTCTCAATGGAGGAATGTGCAGGCTTCTCATTCTTTTCTTCAGGTACCCAAGCCCAGGTCTCCTTTCCCAGATTTAGGGGTATTGTGGCCTGAGGTCTCTCTTACCTCCTGACAGGACTCAAGAAACTCGTCTAAAGTCACGATGCCGTCTTTATTTTTGTCCATTTTCTGAAAGACATGACAGGAAGCACATAAAAGAACCTGATAATCTGCATTTCAAAGCTCACCTTTAAAGGTTCTCACCAGCCAGGCAACTCCATTTGGGCCCTAGTTATAACACTTTGACCTTGGCAAGTTTCTTTAAATCAAAAGACTGGTTCCAGACATCGATTTTTCTGCTGACATCCTAATGTGTTGTATTAGTCTGTTTTCTGTTGCTTTAACAAAATACCTGAGGTTGATTGCTTTAGAAGAAAAGAGGCTTATTCAGCTCACATTTCTGGGGGTTCAAGATCATGGCACTGGTTYGGCTTGGCTCTAGTGAGGGTCTTGTGGAGGATGGCATTGCAATGGTGGGAGCCCATGTGGAAGAGATCACATGGAGAGAGTCTTTCTCTTTTTATAATAACTGGCTCTCATGAGAACTACAGCTTTAATCCATTCTGAGGCCATGTCCAGGGGTCTAAATGACCTTCCAGTAGGTCCCACCTCTTACAGGTCCCATCACCTTCAACCTCCACACTGAGGATAAAGCCTCCCACATGTGAGCCTTTGGGGGCACACTCCAAACATTTCCAACCCTAGCACAGGGAAGCCACTAGCTTGTTCCCTGGCAGGAAGAACACCGGACACAAGAGGTTCCAGTTCCATTTCTGTTGCTGGCTGGGRGAGCTTCCGCTTCCCCATCTGCAAAGTGGACTGGAGTGCGCTCTGAGGTCACTCCACTGCTAGATGAATATTTTTACCCAAATGCCACTAGGATGATGCCACTTGCTTTCTCAAAGGTCAACAGTGTCCCCCTCCTGTACCAGAGCAAGGCACTTCCATTTAGAGGTCGCACAGCCTGACCCACCTAGTTTTAATCCCCCYACCCCTCAGACACAAGTGGTCAGCACCACACGCGATCAGACAGCTCTTGGTTCACTCAGATGCTCCGAGCGTTTTATGGACTCTAGACTGTTCTGTTCCACTTAGAATTAATCTATTAATTAATCCATTAATACACTTCCCTGTTCTCTTCTGCAGCCTGTGCTTCACAGGGGAAGGGACTCCTCGAGGCCAACACATCTTAGGGTTCCTTCCTGTTCCCCGTAGGGCCACACACAGGGCTGGACACAGGCCTTGGGCTCGGATGCTCCGGTGACCGACCTTAGCGGGTGGGTGGCACATGGCACCCACCTGGAAGAAGACGTCCACGTGCTGCCTGGGCGTGTCCTCTTTGAGCACAGGATACGTGTACTTCCCCATCATGTCATAGATGGCTTTGACAATGTCCATCATCTCCTGGAGAGGGGACAGGGAARCACATGGGTGGGGACCCCGAGGTCAGGCTCTTCTGAGGTGACAGGGTTTGGGGTCCTGGTTCCCCCCTGTGCTTAATTAACAAGACATTTTTCACTAGACGAGAAGGATTCAAAAGCAAACGGAGGGGCTGTCACCCGGCAGGCTCCTCCTGGAGAGGAGACCAAAGGACGCTCTCCCCGACTGCAGAAGCTCCTGGGTAGTCAGCTGGGTATTGTCCTCAATTGGGGGTGACACGTGGGAGTCCCCATGCACAGGCTGGGGAAGCTGAAATATTATTCTGAATTTCAAAGAAGCTAATGTTCTGGCTTAGAGATTTTAAAAACCCTCACAGGTTCTGTGGCTGTTTTAAATGAAGAAAAAGGAACCAAGCGTCAGGATTATTGATAGGGCACTTGAGTTTTTCTAAAAAAATCTATTATTAATGATTTTAGATTTACAGAAGAGTTACAAAAATAATACAGAAAATTCATGTACATATTCCTTAATATAAGAACTTGTCCAACCAGAGGAAAATGATCAAAACTAGAAGATTTAACCCACTATAGTGCTAAGACCTAAACTGTGGAACTTATTCAAATTGCCTAGGTTACCCCAGGTCTTCTTTCTATTTGCGGATCCCCCACTGCATCTAGTTGTGTGTCCTGAGTCTCCTCAGGCCTGGACACTGTCGATGTAAACACTGGTCAATTAGTTGGCAAAGTGAATCTTGATTTGGAACCTGGTTTTCTTAGGATCAGAAGCAATGCTCTATGTCTTGGTGCCTCATTGCTGGCGATGTTGACCTTGAGTGCTTGATTGAGGTGGTGGCTTCTCCTCGGTTTTAGTGTCTGTCTGTGGATCTTGCTCACAAAAGTTACTATTGTGATGTTTGTCTAATCTGATTCTGTATTCCCTTTACTCTTTCTGTGTTCATTAATTAAACAGAATTCTCCCCATTTTATGTGTATGTTCAATTTTTTATTTGTATCAGTATGGACTGATGGATATTCTACATATTTACTACATTTTTTTTACTACATTTTGTTGGTGATAACCCATCATCATTTTTCATTTTTCTGCTTAAATTGCTTCAGTGACTCCTGTAGCCTTTCAACATGTCCCTTCCGGGATCCAGGATTGTCTCGTATTTTCTGTCAATCTGGGGACCAACCACTTCTCCAAGGACACTGGTTCTTGGAGTATTGAGAGAACACCGTGCTACTTTCTGAGTTAAAAATGTAATAGCATACAAATTAACCTACTTTCTGAGTTAAAAATGTAATAGCATACAAATTTTCAGGTCATCTTTGCAACTTGAGAGAGAAATAGCTTTTCATTGTTGTAATAGACTTCACTTTCTTGGTGAGATTTTTTAACATTAGGCATTCATTATTTTTCACGTCATTTCCTGTGAACTTTGTTCAGTTATTTTACTCATTGTGTTTTCTATTTCTGATTGGACGGTGAGAGCTCTTTCTATACTTTGAAAATTGTTAATTTACATAAGAGATATTTTTAAAAATCTACCACATGTTCAATACTGCTTCAAGGAAATGCAAAGGTAAGCACGGGAGATACCCTTGCTTTTGTTAAGATGACTAGCTAGAAATATCAGCCCTTTCTAGGATTACAGGTTGTAAATATTTTAGCTAGTCTGTCATTTGCTTTTCAACTTTGTTTATGATGATTTATGATGTACAGAATGAAAAAGACTTGTAGAGTGAAACTATCAATAGTTTTCTTTTATTACTTCTAACTTTGACTTTATGTGTTTTTCATTCAAGGTCAGGTGTCTGTGTATGACTTCTAGTTCTTTGAGAGTTCAAAATCAACTATATATATCTATGATTAATTTGGATGTATAAGTGGGAATGTTTACTGTCAAAGTAGCTAACCACTTTCCCCAGAATAATTTAATTATCAGTCATCATTTTATTCTTTCCCTTTCTCATAAACCCAGCTCTCACTTGTACTTGGTGTTCTCTTCTGCCCACTGACCCTCCTCTCCTCATTGCACCTGTTATAAAGCTTTAGATCTGTAATTATCTGGTAGAGTCAGTGCCACCATTTTTCTTTTCGAAAATTATCTTTGCTATTCTCATCTGATTACTTTTCCAATGTGACTCTATAACAACTGTGCACATTTTCCTCCCCAAATAGCACTTTCATTCTGAGTAGGAGTAAAATAAATTTAGTTAATTAGAGAATAATTGCTATCTTTACAATATTACTGTCTTTATAACATACTCGCCTTCAGAAAATGGCGCATCTCTCTACTTATTCACGTTTTCCTTTTTGTATTTCCCCCCAAAACCTTTTATCATCTAAATTATGGATATTGAAAAATACCTATGTGCTTTGAATTTTACTATTGTATTATAATATCTTTGTTACAGTTTTCTGTGTAGTTATAACTGACCAACCAACGTCTTTTTGTTATATATATATATATATATATATATATATATATATATACATATATATATAACTTTAAGTTCTATTATTATATATATATAACTTTTATATATAATAATATATTATATAATATATATATATATATATATATATATATATATATAACACTTTAAGTTCTATTATTTTAAGTTGATTTTCTTGTCTTTGTTTTCCAGATAAAACATAGAATCATTAATAAAGGATGTTGCAACCTCCTGTATTTATGTTTCATTTCTTTTTCTGACTTATCATACTTGAAGAACTTTTAGAGAATGTTAAATAACAGTGTAGGTGAGCTGTGTGTACTCTTGTCTCATTCTTGCTATAACTGGGAACCTCTAGTGTCACTATGAAATATGAAACTGGGTATCATGCTGGGGTATTTATGCTGAAGAAGTATTGTACTCCTAATTTATTAGCAGTTCTTAAAAATATCAAGAATAGATGGTAAATTTTATCGAATGTGATTTTAGCATCATATCATTTAATCTTCTGATATATTGATCTGATGAATTATTTAACAGACTTTCTCTACTATTGAATTATTCCTGCAATAAAYCTCATCCTAGTCATATGCATTTCTTTAGAGTACTAGGATTCATTTCATTTGGAATTTGTGATTTATATTTTGAGTGATATTGGACTCTTGTTTTCTTTTTTGCTTGATGGGACTTTCTTTTTCATTCAACACATTTTTTTGAGCACTTTCTATGCCTAGCCCTGAGCACTTCCGCCTTATAGTACACTTTTAAAAAAATAAATCAAACTTATTGAGGCATAATGTTCTTACAACAGATTAATCCACATAAAGTGTACCCTTAGATGAGTTTTGAAAAATGCATACACCCATGTCACTGCCACACACCCAAGATATGGAGTATTTTCATGTCCCTTTGCAGTATCTGTCAACCTCTGGCACCAGAAAACCACTGGTAAAATTTATGTCACTATGGAGTCACTTGCATTTTCTAGAATTTCAGATAAATGGAATCATACAGTATAACTGAATTATCTTCATCCACTGGTTCATGGGACTCAGGGCCACTGATGCTGGCAACATCGTGTGTTTCCTCTTACTGCCGAGTGGTAACCCATTGCATGGACACACCACAATRTGTTTATCCATTGTCCAGTTAGCAGACATTATTTGGGTTGTTTTCTGTTTGGGGGCTGTTATGAAGAAAGCTGCTATGAATAGCTCTGCTTTTGGAATTACATATTTTTTACATATTTTGAGTAAATCTCTGAAGGTGGGTTTTCTGGATCCTATGTTAATTGCATGTTGAACTTTATCAAAGATGCTGAGACATTTTCTGCATGTCTGTGTCATCTTACATCCCACCAGCCTGCACGAGTTTCTATTGCTCCACATCCTTCCAGCAAGTGGTCTTTTTCATGGCAGCCATTCTGCTGGGTGTATAATTATATTTTGTTACAGTTATAATTTGCATTTTTTGAAGGCCAGAGATATGGAGAAATTTTTCATGGGCTTATTAGCCATTCACTGATCTTCCTTTTTGAAGTATCTGTTCAGCTTTTTTACCTACTTTTAACTGAGTTATCTTCTTATTGAATTATAAACATTCATTTTATATTTTGGACACCCACCTTTTGTAAGATATAGAACTTAAAAGCCTTTTCTCTGAGTCTCTGGCTTCCATTTGCCCCCTGCCTTTTCAGTGCTGAGGACCTATCCCTGGGCCTCAAGCATGCGAGGTAAGTGCTCCACCCCTGAGCTGCACCCTGGCCCTGCAATTCTACTTCCCTAAAGGTGTCTTCCAAGGAGCTCTGTCTTGCCTCAGAGCCTCTCAAGTGGCTGTTCCTTTTGCAGGAACACTTTTCCTGGCTTTTGCATATCTGGCACCAGTGTGGCAACACCATCTTAGTCGCCTTTGCCACCGTCCCTGCTAAGACATCTACCTATCTGTCTGCATTGGGCCTGTTTACTGTCCCTCCTCCATGCTGCTCTGTGGGAGCAAGCCGGGTCTGATGGTTTGCCTCTTTCTCTCCAGCACCTAGAACACCTGGGAACCCTCACACAGGTGTTGAGCAGCACGAGACGGAATGAATGAGGAATGAAGTTAAGGAAATCTTCTGAGCATCAGTGTTCTCTCCTTACCAAGAGAACCTGGCAGGGCTGAGGTGAAGGTCAGAGAGGATGTCCAACCTCTGGGCAGCATGCCTGGCTCATAGGAGCTCAGCAAATGGGATGCCTCGGATGCTCAACTCAAGCAGACATCAATCACAGTGAGTTTTGAGACAGGCCTGTGAGCATCTCATCAGCTGAACGCGTATTGAGGCTCTAAGTGTCAATCAATGATTCCAGGATTGATTGGCATGATTTCTTTAAAGACAGTGACAGCTCCCTTCTTCCTTTCTCTGGCTTTATTTAGGTGACGCTGTGCTGGGGCGATCCCATGGTAGTCCCYTCTTCTTTAAAAATCTCTTTTCTCTTTAGGGACTGCCTGTCATTTCACCATTTCAGCTTTGGGCTCTAAAGTGTGGCTGCTAACTGGCTAAAATTGCACGTCCCCTATAAGGAGGAGGCCTTCACTAAAACAAATCATGGGTGGTGTGAACCGAATCTGTGTGGCCCAGGACACAGGAGGCTGCCGAATCCTCTCTCCAGCACCTGGGAACAGGGCAGGGCCAGCAGTGGGGGTAGTCAAAGACACCTTGTTCATTTTTCTGGGACCAGCCCTGTGGCCCCAAAGTGAATCTGCTGCGTCATTCAGATAATTTTATCCTCATGTCTGGGAGTTGCTTTCTAGTCTCTTGGCACCTCCATTGTCCCCGTCAGCCCCTGCTCTCAGCTCACTTACCTCTTTGTTTATGTATCCATCTTTATTGATGTCATACAAATTAAATGTCCACCTTAGTTTCTCATGGACAGTTCCTCTCAGTAAAATCGACAGAGCAGTTACAAAGTCCTGAAGCAGAAGAGACAGGAGTGGGTGAGCCACCAAGCTGCTGGGTGGGCAGCCGGCTCTGTGGGTCAGACTCCGTGGGGCTTTTATAGAATGACATCTCTCCCTCCCATCTGGTGTGCCCAAAGGTTATGGCCAAGCTGGCTGAGGAGCTCCCTCTGGGCACTGCCCACGCTGCCCCCTGTGAGGAAGGTGCCCCTTGGGGGAGAACGGAGCTCTGCATTGTGAGTCACCCCCAGGCAGTTAAGTAAGCCACCTCCATTCCAGACTGACCCCAGGTTTGCGATCCTGTGCTTGTCATGCTCTAGCAACTCCCGGCGGGGACTCTGGACAGGGACTATGGCTGCCCATGTTTCCGCCTGCCTCCGCCACCTGCTAGCTCTCCAACCTTGGCAGAGCTGCTCAGCCTGTCTTTGCCTTACTTTCCTCATCAGGAAAATGACAGGAAGCAACTCAGCCCAGCACTGAAGGGGTATTGTGAGGATTCCAGGAGATGACCAATGCACAACGCTGAGTCCAGCGGGCAAGTGAACGCTTAAACTTGTCAGGCTCAGACCCCAAGTCCCCGAGGACCTGGAGAGTGGGGAGAGTTGCTTCTCTCTCTCTTTAGGAAATGTTCATCACATGGATAAAGTTTCTTTGTTTTGACTGAGAGCTTTCCCTGATGTGACCCATTCCCCCCAGGACCCTGTGACTTAGAGGGAGAGGCAACAGGAAGCAGGGGACTCCCAGAATGTACCCAAGAGACTAGCATACCTCGAACTTCACGGAGCCCGCCTGGGTGGTGTCGAAGGCGTTGAAGAGGTAATGGGCGTAGGTGCTGGCGTCTGCAGGCAGAGAGGGGGCAGGTGAGGAGCTGAGGCTCTGCACGGGGGAGGGGGCTTTAAACACAGAGGCAGGGTTTTGGCCAGAAGGACAGGGCGACAGAAAGGAGAGACTGGTGGGCTGAAGCCCACTGGCTCAACCCCTGGGGTTCAGGTGGGTGGTTCTAGTAAACAGTGGGACATGCCCTTGCTCCTCCTCTAGCCATCTTGAGATGATTCTGGTCTCCCTGTGCATGTAGCCTCTGGTGGCTGGCTGGCTGGCTGGCGACTGCGTGAGGGTCTGAGCAGCCACGTGGTGCTATAGAAACAGCCTTTGCTCAGGAGCCRAGACCTGGCTTGGGTGGCAGCTCTGTTACAACAGAGCTGTGTGTCTGGAGGCATCCAAAGCAACCTCTCTGGACATCCATGTAGTAAGACCTATGTCTTGACATTTTTGAAGAAGTATGTTAAACTAGAGCCCCACCTGCCACCCAGCAAAGCCTAACAAAGACAGCTCAACAGAGGTCAAGAAACCGGTTCTGGGGCCTGCGTGAGACAAAGCTGCTTTCCCTCAACTTGGGTTGGGGCCTGTGCTGGGCACCTAGGGAAGCACCGTCTGCTGCTGAGGAGGCCCATGGTCAGCAGGGCCTGTAACGTGTTTGGGACTTGGATCTCTGTATTGTCCAGATCCAGGGACAGGATTCTGCAGGAGATGGCTCCTGGGGACAGAATGCAAGGTGGCATATGACACACAGAAGTCTCAGGAGGGACCGCTAATGTGGCCCTAGGTCCCTGGGGCCAGAGCTGTTCCTAAGGATCAGRTAGGTGATGGAGCAGGTGCCGGGGGTCCAGTACCCTTGCTATGCAGCTTCATAAGCATGACTTTGTGCTGTCCGTATCTTGGTGGACTCGTCTATTTTATAGTTTCTAGCAGTTGCTAAACTTCTTTCCCAAACTTCTGGCTGGTCTCAGAAAGAGTCTGGCCCCCTGGAGGAGCCGGTGTGGAAAGCTTGGCCCCAGGCACTTCTGGGATCCCCCTGTCTGCCATGCACTAAGGCGTGGTCCTGGTAACATGCCCAGGGTCTCTGAAACTCGCTTGTTCCTTCTGGGGTCACAATATCTGCTTTCCGGAGCTGCCAGGAGACCTCTGAGGGACGCCACCCACCTCCCTCCCCTCCTGGAGTGGGTCCTTTCAGTGTTCTTTTCTGTTGACGCTTTAGAGAACCCCACAGCTTTAATAAGGAGGAGACAGGAAAGGAGGGTGGACTTGGAGGAAGGGACGGTGCCCACTGGAGAGGGAGCAGAGAGGGCCTTCATCAATGTCAGACTCACCTCCATGAGGAAAGAACTGGGCATAGATCTGCTTGAAGGTCTCTTCATTGACCACGCCACTGGGGCACTCCTGGGTGGAGGGAGAGAGTCAGTGGGACATGTCTGGGGGTCCGCCCCAGGAGAGGAGCCTGGACCCACCCTTGGGGTCCAGGTTCCTCTGATCCCTGGTGGGCAGCCCTGCACAGCACCCATGCATTTCTGTGTCTCTCAGGCGGGTGTCTGGGACRTAATCCCACCTTAGGACCAAACCTGCTTTGCAAAATGATGAGATGTCATCTGAGAATGGACGTCGCACAGGGGAAAGAATTGGGGCTTCAGGGTTAAACAACCTGGTTTTGGATCCTGGTTAAAGCATTTCTAAGCTTTGTGACTAGGGTCATGTCAGTCTCTGATCCCCAACATCTTGACCTGTAGAAAGGGGGCCAATTTTCCCAACAAGGTTGTTGGGCAGTTTAACCCATCGTCTCGAGGTGGACCACCTATAAAAACTTAACATAGTGTATGCTATATCATATAATATTAAAATCAGAACATAATTATTATAATATTAATATAATAACACATAAGTTCAAGATTATGATTTCCAACCCATTTTCATGTCGACTTCATTGACATATTTGAGAATTGTAAACTTAATGTATGATGTGGCACAGAACCACGGTCGATGCCAACCCATGTCGATTCGCCTCTGTTCTGGACACTGTGCCATCTGCTGCCATCCAGCTGCCTCTTCCTTCAGCTGCCTCTTCAAGATCGCAAGGGAGAGGCCCAAGGGCAGCAAGCCAGGTATAGGACAGGCACAACCAGAGCTCAGTAGGARGGTAGGTGCCCCAGGATTGTCAGATACCTTCAGGAGGTATGGGAATCCCTAACAGCCTTGGGAACACTGAGACTGTGCTCAGTTTGGAATTGACCAAGTTCCGCCTGTAGGCTGCACCTGGAGGAGGGTGACAGGAGCACCTCCCTCTAACCCAATCCACCCCAGGATTTGGGAAGAAGTTTGCATTGAGATTTAAGCTTAAAAAAACAAAATAAAATAAAACCAGTATCCAGGATGGACCCTGAGAACTCTTGATACTTACTTCCCCGAGATGGCAGGATGTATTAATGTAGCTACTACTAACTCCCTGCCCCTGACTCCACCCCCAGTTACCCCTTGGCTTCCTGTGTAGCTCACAGGAAGAGGTTCCAGCAAGAGGAGAGGGGTGTCTGGTCCCACTATCAGTCTGTATTTCATGGTCCACGAATACAGGGACATTCAGGCTGACACGTCAGCCCGTGTGAGCTTGATTAGCTAAGTGAGCGAGCTCAATTGCACCAAGATGAGGGTGTGAGTWCCTGCAGCCGAGGCTGGCTCAGGACAGGGCAGTCTCCCATGGTGGCGCCACCCTGTGGAGTTTCTGGCCGCCAGCTGACTGCCCTCACCTGGAGCTGATCTTGTGCCCCCTTTGCCCTGGTGGCCTCCCTTGCACAACCACAAATCTGGGACACTCCCTTGGGGGCTCCCATGACATYGGGAGGCATCAGCCCATGCAGAGCCCGTGTGCCTGCCCCATCTTACGTTTTTGAAGCCTCGGTAGAGCACTTGCAGCTCCCTCTTGGTGAAGTTGGTCTGGGCCTCGAGCTGCTCCAGTCCTTCAGGCCGGTGGCACACTATGGTCATCTCCAGCTCATCTTCAATTTTATCTGGAACCAGAGGGGACGGCATTGGAGCATGACCTCAGAGGCCACTCTTGTCAGGCCACAGTCTGGACTGTCCAAAGATGGAGGTCATGGTGTGGGACATAGGTGGGTGGTGGGTTGGGGTCCACCCGGAACCCCACTTCCCTGACCAGTACTGTCTGTCTCACCATCTGTCTACTCTGTGACTCTAGGTGTGACAGATGCCAAAAGGGAGGGAGTGTCAGCTGTGACAGGGAGGTAGGGAAAGGAGGGTGGATGTGAAACCGATTTCCTTCCTTTCCAAACATCCTTATAGCATATTCAAATTGCTGCCCGCTGGACCTTCTGAATCTGCAGACACAGGTAAGCCGGCAGAAGGACAAACACTCTCCCATCAGCAAAGGGAGCAAATCTATAGAGAAAATTGAAGTCTCCCGGCATGGGACACCTGCAGGAAGACTAGCATGACTTAGTCAAAAGTTCTAATTGTGGACTGTTACATGCTAATTTAAAAATCTGCATTTTACATGGTATTGTTTCATAGTATCTGCAAGATATTCTTAAGTACTAGGAAAATGACTTCAATAAGAGCTACTTTGTATAAATAAAAGCTCTGGTAGCATTTGAAGGGCCCCAAACCATTGAGAGTTGCTTTTGTTCTTCCTTAGAGGGTACTACATGTGGTAACAGTGTTGCACTAGCTGTTTAGAAAGTGCCCAGTAAAGCCAGCAATTTGTCCACTTTGCATTGAAGGATCACAACACTCATGAATTAGTGGAACCTTCCAGATGCTTTATTATCAGAGGCATAAGTGACTCTTTTCCTTTGGGCTCTGCTGGAATGCTTTCAATAAATTTATTCCAATCAAGAACCAATAACCACTTGACCTTCCATGCCTACCCATGTCACGCAGACAGACATCATCAGACCCATGGAGTGAACAACTGTAAATCTGAACTTGCAAAACTAGCAAAGAGATGGATGGGCGTCTGGAACACACACATCATGTCATCGTCATACCCATGAGAGGCTGATCGTCCCTGTGGGAGAAAGGGCTGAGCAGGTGCTTTAAATTCTATGYACTTCTCTCATCAGGGTTGATCTCTTTGTGACAGATTAGCTCTGCAATTGTTACTTTCCCTTTTCAGATTTTGATTCCAGTGAGAAAGGAATCCATCAAAGGAAGTTTGCATTTTGTACATATCCCCAAAGGTAAGGGATAAGGCTACAATAACTTGGTAACAATTCCTAATTGATATCTTTTCTTATGTGCTGGGCAACAACACATATCACCTTATCCTTTTGGGAATGAGGCAGATGATCCAATATAAATAAGGCACTCTGTTTATACAATGTAGTGGCAAGTGGCCCATTTCTTCATAATTCTTGCAGAGCCTTTAATGTTATGTTTGTAGCTAATGAGATAAGTAGCAATTATCTAAACACTGGAACATTTCTATGTAAATGAAAGGGCCGATTCTCAGGAAATAGAAGGAAAAAAAAGAGAAAATGAAAAAAATCCACATAAGTCTAATCTAGGATGCTTACATATATTTTATGTATATTTTAAACTCATTTGAAAACAGAAATCAAATATTGGTTTAAATCTCCTACTATTAGATCCAATACGCCTTTCGTAAAAATGCACATATATTTAACTGTGCATACATTCTTTAATTTTTTTTTWAAAAAAACTGTGCATATATTCCAAAGAAACTTTAGAAGAGGCCACAGAGGTTTTAGTATCCCTCTTATTACCCCTTGCTGTCAGCATGGGCCCAGTAAAGGAAGGGGAAGCAGCAAAAATCAAATTAAAATATAAATAAGGAATTTTTAGAAAAAACGATGCAGTTTTGAAGGTATCAAGTMTACCTGTTGAGTTTTCACTTATCCAAAAGCATGAAACTCTTTTTTGCAGTGGGGTCTCATTCCTTATTCTTCATGGAACCAAATTCTTTCCTAGCTCAGGGAAATTTCTTTGCAAAAGTTAGAAAGAATCCGATTCAGAAATGTTACTTGCTTCCTATCATCTTTATTAAAAATGCACTAAGTAATTATTGAAACATCAACGACTAGACCCACTTCATTAAGGTGGAACCGGAAGTTATTAATAAATGATTTGCCTGCTGTCTGCACGGCAGGATCAATTTCCATATGCAACAGATCCAGTCTCAGTCCCATCTGGGTGTTTGGATAGTGCTCACCGAGCTTTTGCTTTCATTTGCTTTAACAAATCATTGTTATTTGATTTTTCTGTCTGAAAAGAGCAGGGACAAAATGGAATTCACATTTTGGGGGTTCAGAGGCTGGGGAATTGCTTGTGGATATTAGGAACTTAAATCAGAGATTTAATACTGTGGAAATGACTCCCTAACAAGAATCAATTTGAACAACTTCTCTTTATTCAAATGTTTTTATGCAACTTGGTGTTGGGGAGGGGTGAGAAGGTCCCCACCCTTCCCATGTAGGACTTAGAAGACAATTACCCAATCGGTTCAGGTGATTTTCTGTCTGAGTGACTCACCAAGTGATAATCTCTCCCACTGGGGGTAATTATGAGATGGAATAACCCACCAGAGGGTGCTGCACAGATTCCCACACAGAATAGTCCATGACTCAGGGTTTCGGGCTATTCTGAGAGTAGGATGAGAGCGTTAGACCCTCTCAGATTAAGAGACAGCAAACTCTGCATTGTTTGCCTACACCTTCCTGAGTTTCTGTGTCTTTAAAACACACAGGGGCCCATGCTAGGGCTTCTAGCAAATATGTCTTACAAGCTCTGTCACTAACTAGTTTATATCTGTGTCCTAGGTCACATAGGCAAACTGTGACAGAGCTGGACCCCAAATCCAGACAGTCCCAGCTCTTTTGTTGGGGCTACGGGTCCCCACAGTGGCTTCTGCTTCCTTCCAGTGCAATTTGCAAGCTGGTTTTAACCAGCCTGAGGTAGTCCTGTTCCTAATAAGCCCCACGCCTGAGTGTAAATTAGACCCTCAGACTGTGCGGCTACGGTCTTCTCCCCGGTGAGATGTTTCTTGTGAGACTCCTGAACACGGCCATGACCAAAGATCCTGGCTGCCTCCTTCCCCTGGGGCTGAAGGTTGCTTCTCTAGGGAGGGGTGTCTGGGTTGGACTTCATGCCCACCCCTTATTTTGAGGTTGCAAATGGTGGCCTGTGGGCTGAATCCAGCCCAATGAGAGGTCTCATTGYAAAACATGTGCTTTTCATTGGTTGCCAATGTTTACAGTGAGAGATTCATGTGTCAGGTTGGATTCTTGATTTCTTTTGAAAAAAATGTGATTATTTGACAACTTAGGTCTCAAATTTGCCAGGTCACTGTCCACTGGAGCTGGGCAGAGACTGTCTCATCTGGGCAGCCGGAGCCTCTGGGCTCCCTCTGGTTCAGTGCTGCCTCTTTTAATCCACTGAAGCTACCTGCCTAGCCCTGGGGACGAATGAGTTTGGGTTCTCAGGTCTGAACCTCCTTATCCCACCCTCTGTCTGCATATCCCCTCCCCCACAGTCTATTTCAACACAYCCACTTTGTTGCCCTAGAACTTGAAGCTGATCATAAGAAATAAATGTAGTAAAATAGAGAAAAACTACCTCAGGAAATGTTGACAAGAAGGGAAAAGGGAACACAGAAATTCAGGCCATTTGTCCTATGCAGTTACTACACTCCAGCCACAAATTAGCTCTGAGTTTTATGTACGTCATGTTGCTCATGAAAAGAAAATATGTCAGTTTCTAAGGAGAAGCAAAGCCTTTCCTAGGACTTATCTCTAAAAGAATATTCCCAACTTTTTCTATGCAGGTCAAATTTGCTAACAAGGGGCACAGAAAGTGGGTGAATGAGAAGACTAATTGCACAATAGATGCTTCATCAAGAAGCTCTTCCTTTGCAACTAATATGACCAAAGTACGCAAGTTAATTTAAAGTGGTTTTTTTTTTTTTTTTTTTTTTACCTCTCTGATACTGGTAATACCACCAGGCGATGTCTAGGAAAAAGTAAGAAAACATTTTACCAAATCCATTCAATGAAAAAACAAAACACATTTTTATTGCCCCTCTGAGAATGTGCGGGTCACCATCTCAGGAGCAGAGCAGGACTGACTTCTCCATCCTTCGCCCATGGTCAGAACAGGCAAGAGCCATGAGTCACCTCCCAGCAGGCTCCGGGAGCATATGCCCTCAGCCATGCCCTCAGCCATGCAGCCATGCAGCCCAGAGAGAGATGGGATGGCACTCGGCAGAGGATGCACGGATGTGGATGGGTCCTCAGAAATACCCATGTGTGGGATGGAGGAGTGGCTTACAAGATTCCCTCCACGAGGAAGCCCCCGTTACCCACCTCTGATCGTGATTCAAAGCTGAATATCTTGCAGGGTGATTTACTTTCTTGCCAACAATTATCAGGGACGTTCTACTATGTATATATTAATGAGAAAATAACTCTGTTTCCTGCTCCCTTGAAGCTTACAATCTATAAGCCTTGGCTTCTCTCATCCCTTATTAAGTGTTTGAAGTGACTCAAATGCAGAAGATGGAACAACTATTGGAGAGAAGAGGTCATGCATTAAGATGTGTGGCCTCTAAGCTCTGTTACATCATATACAAGACACAGGACAAAACATCAGGCCTGGAGAACCACCAGTGGTCTGGGGGAGCTGGGTGGGTTCAGTCGATGCCTCCTGTTGGCCTTTTCTGGTGTGTTTGGTGGTCATCTGGTTCTCCCTGTGAGTTGTCATTTGAACCTCCTCCTGTTTTGCCAGCATCCCTGACTAAGAGTGTAGTGGCACAGCTACCATATATACTGTGTCTTAGTGCCCACCCCCAACTCACAACCCCAAGCAGGGATGGTTTATTTCCCTGCTGCTCCTAAAAGTGCTAGTACGCATAGCTGGGTATCCATGTCTTCTGACTTGCATGCCTTGGGAGAGACTTATTTTGTTAGATTTAGTTTGATTACTCTGGTCAGAGGTATTTGTATACATTCATTGATCGATTTGTACTAATAGACTA